GTGTACAACAGAAAGTGGTTTCTATAATCACAGCTGTCTTAAAGTCCAGGCTAAAGACAAGAAATCTTCATTTCAGCTAGTTCTTTTCTTAATAATAGGTTACCTTCCTATAAAAGCAAGAAGTCCATCTGCCCCAGGCAGATAAGTTTTGAAGCATTAATTCAGATAAAAATCTAGCATTTTCTTTCTTTCTTTGAGTATGTGAATTCTAGTGTGCTATAATGTGAGAATTCCAACATATGACCATTATGGCATAATATCTCATTGCTCAGCTTGTCATTATTTCATTTGTAATTCTTATGTTAATTATGTTCATAATTACTATAAACAGATGTGGTAGACATTCATGTGACCTTTTATTGCAGAATGCATTCCTCACTCATTTTGCTTTAATTTCTCATGTATGTGAAGCTAAAATGCAGAAAAAAGAAAAAGGCTTTTTAATTTTCTAATGTTCTATATGCCTAACTTCAAACAAAACCTACCTTCTACTTGGTCTGCATTTCAGAAAATCAGAATATTCTCAAGGTTTAAGCTGCTTTACAGCACATATCCAAATTGCACATTGAATCTCACTGCTGCTTGCTAAATTGTAGCTAAGAATGCCAAACAAAGGCTAGCATCATCCGTGTCTAAGTTGTTTGTCTTTTTTTTTAATATCAAAGGTTAATGCAGCAGACTTGTGCATCAAAACCAAGTGCCTAGCAGCTACATAACGATTTATTCACTCATAACTCAACCATTGCCACCTTTACATAAAACACATTTACAATAAAATCAGTATGGATTTCATTAGCTGAAAACCTCCTCGAATTTCATTTCTTTGGCCCTAATCTATAATTAGTGTGGACAGACAGGTGCAAACCCTTCTCTTCTACAGATGGCTACTGGAAATGGTGCAAAGTAGCTCCTTCTGTTTAAACAACAGAGAGATAACCTGCTCTGTCTTATCACTTACAATTACCTCCATTAAACTGAACTAATGTTTGCTTTAATAAAATGTTCACTGTTCTTTAAACATTATTTAGGAACTCTTATATTAATGGCTATAAAAAAGTGAAGTTGGAAGGTGTCTCTTTAGATAATAATAAATAACTTATTCGGATAAAATGTTCCCACTGGTGGGTAATACTCCAAGGTTCACAAAGGTGTTTTAGTTGATTTAACATTAGTTATTTTAAATAAATACTATGATATGATTTTCAAGAAGGAATTCAGGTGACTAACATAATCTAACAAGTACAGTTAGAGGAAACAGTTTTTCTGAAATTTAGAGGTATGGAAGATTTCATTTTTTAAAAAATCAATTTGTTTTTGAAATATATAGCTCTTAACATCCTAGGTTGTTTTCAAATGATATTAATGTTAACCTAGTTTTATGTAGCTTTTTTTCATTTCTGACAGATTATTCTCAAAGTTGAATGAGTTTCATTCTTTTAAGGCATATTTTAAAAATGAACTATGAATGTAAGAGTATTCTTGCGAGCACATGGCTAAAAACAACCCCATTCCATAATGCATAATTTCTATAAAGCCAGAGCTCATTTCTCCCTGCTTCTGCTATCAGTGAAGTGTGTGGATCACTATATGATGAATAAGGTGTCCATAAAACAAAGAACCTTTAAATGCCTAAACAGCAACAAATAAAATAGCCTTTCTCACTGAACTTACATAACTTACAGTAATAGACTCCAGCAAAATGCAACTGACTCATTTTTTTTCACATGCAAATCCTGCAGGTGCCAATTTTTCAGACTGCTTTGCTATGAAGGGCTATGTTGCCTGCATAAAACCTCAATGAAGAAGGCTTTGCATTCAGTGCCTGTCAGCTGATGTTCATATCAAAGAAGTGAGAAACAGGGTTTGACAGTGAAGAATGTCCTAAACTGACAACCACTGACCAGCATCCCTATTGGAAGCATTTCTTTCTCCTGATCCCTTTTCAACATCATTCTAAAAAAAAAAAATTTTTTTGCTTAGCTTCTATTTTACAATAAAATAAATTATAATGACAACTTACATTTGTGTAAATCTTTGCAATTTGTGAAGTGTTCTTTTATCTGCAAATATTTGGTCTAACACCTCAGCGAAAGAGATCATCATCAAATGCTCATATTAAGAGCAATATTTTACTTCTCTCGGGAAAATGGTGAAAATATTCTGCAGAATATTTCTTGTAGCTGCAAAAATACTGTCCTACCATTCCCAGCAATTTGCAAATTTTAATAGTGCAGTTTGCATTACATTGCAGGTAAAATGCTTCTTACAAGGAAAGTCCTTTTAAAGAACATTTTTAAAATCAAATTATTAGCAAGTATTAGTGAGTCACAGAGACCTAGTCTACAAAGGAAAATATCGTTTCAAAGCAGACTTCTGATCTGCTTTGAGTTTTCCAAACGTTGAAAAAGACTTTTCCTCACTGTTTTTATTAGGCATGAACTGGACACTGGAGAAACTACGTACTGAAAGTCTCCAAAGCAATTGCTTAGCTTAGATTTACAGTAAAATGATTAATGCTTAAGCAAAGATACCTAATGCACAGTTCTTCTCTTAGTACAATATTAAAGTCAACTCCTATGCTCTCAGGATGACACTGATTCCTTGATTAATCTGTTGGATTTTTTTTTCTTTTGAAGAAATAAACTAACCAAAAATCAAGTACTAAATAAGAGAGACTTCATATAAGAAATGATAGACTTCGACTCCCTAAATATCCATCCAGTCTGAAAAAAAAAAAAAAAAAAGACCTGGGTCAAACTAAGATTGATTTATACTGGGCCAGATTGTCAGATCACTCTAAAAAAGTAATAAGTAGTAAAAAGAAAGAAAAGAAAAAGAAAATGAAATCATATACCCTATCAATGTTATCTGAAAGCCACCATAATGTTAAAAGTAGACTAGACTTTCAGCATAAACAGAGGGCAAGTCCACAGAATTAGAAGTTTGCTTCTGTTTATACACATCACAGCTGACATAAACACCCAGGTGGCCTGAAATGGTTTAAGGAACAATGGTGTTTGTTGACCTTTCCTAAGGAACTGTGTGACAGGAGAGAAAGCACAACAGAATATTCACATGGTCAAGGCAAAATGTTGCAATAAACTAAAAGGAGGCCCTCAACACTAATAAACCGTTTATCACAGAGAAGCTGGTCAATTTGTATTCTAGGGAGTGTGGGCTCACTGGGCACAGACCCAGTTCCACTCCTGCTCTATGCAAAGAAGGGGAATGATAATAAAAGCCACTGAGTGCACTTAAAATGGTACAGATGTTTCAAAGGAGACTTGGAGGAAAAAACCCTGTAAAACACATTTCAGTTCACAAGAAGGTAGAAAGAATGCTTTGGTCAGCAACCCGACCTTTATCAAGAGATAAATCAATTTGCTGCAGCTGTGGACAGTCATTTATATAAAGGCCCTGGGCAGATTAATTAAGGGTTACATTAAGCACATGAAGTTGGTCTGGAGTGGCCTCACCACCTTTCCGGGTCCTCACCACTCCCTCTCCCAGGCATTGGTGACCGCCTGCTGGACAACCACTGCTGACGCCCTCACCCCACCCCACCCCCACCACCAAACACGCGCGCAATACCAGCTATTCCTCAAAGCAGCTTTCTGCTGATCCCCCCCACCCACCCCCAC